GAAAAGAGCAGTGAGGCAGTTACAGACTTACTGGAGTGAGCACTAAGCCTGTATTACAACTAGAGCCATATAAAGGTGCAATTAAGTGTTATGTGGTAGAAAAAGTCAATCCAGGGAAAAGGGACTAGTTTGCAAGGCAGAGAGGCATTCTTGGGCAATCCAGGAAGAGCTTGGAGGGCAACAGAACAGACGCCCTTGTGCTTGCTGTTCCCTCGTTATCTGCCTAAACACGGATATTCGGTACAAAATTCAAAGTCCATTGAACTGAAAAGATCTCTTTACTAGGCTTTGAATCAAGCCTGAGCTGTACACTAGATTGGAACAAAAGTTTCAGGTATTTATGTAGTTTTATTCAAATGCTGGGTGGTGGAGGAAAGGGAAAGGTGACAGTTCTCAGCGTTCACTCTTTACAGAGTATGAGCTCAGGCAACAACTGTCCTCTAAATCCCTCGACAAGCACTAAAACGGGCAAACAGCTCACTGGAAGAGCTGACCAGCACTATTGTCAGTGGCAGAAATCAGAGCTATGTGCTCTAATGGTCGTCAAGAGAAACTGGAGCAAAGCCACACTGCTGTCTGTTAGACTAGAGCAGACCTGAAAAGGAAAGCACAACCTCCATGCGACCCAAACAGAATCATCCTCTCTGCTGGCCACTGAGAAAGAATTTTTTGAGACACCAACATCGAGCTCCCAAAGCATTCAAAAAGCACAACCTGTGCAAGAGGAGAAACCACTCAACAGCTGCCTTACCGAGGACTTTACTGTAGTACCCATCCCATTCGTCTCGCCAAAACTTCAAGAACAGTAAATCCATGGAAAAGTAAGAGAGGAAGTTCTGCAGCCTTTCCAGGAAGGACATCTGGTCTGTCAGCCCACTGGTGCTAGCAGGCACGTAAGACGGTGGGGATGGGAGCCCACCGCACTGCCGCTCTAGCACATTGCCGTAAAAGAAGCGCAAGGTGTAGACAAAAGGGATTTCCAAGATTTCTGCTACAAGCTCCCCGCCGACAGCCAAGGGGTCAGCAATCAGAACATCAAACTTGGCCTGCTTTAGCTTTGCTATCAGCTGAGGGTTCGTCACCAAGGTGTCACAGGTCTGCTTAGACAAGTCAGAAAATTCCTCTATGTCCTTTTGCAGCCTCTGCATCATCTCCCAGTAGGAGAGTTTAGGGATCTCGTTCATCCAGAAATTGAGGAAATCCTCCATCACATCAACCAGGTTCTGCTGGGTGAAGGGGACTTGCAGGACCTCAAAGGTGAAGGGGGAGGAAGTGTCTCGGTAGTCAATGAGCAGATTGCTGGAGGCCACCAGCACAGTCACTTCATGACCCCGCAGAACAAGCTCTTCCAGCAGCACTTTCACATTGATCCAGTGACTTGCATCCGTGGGCCAGACCACCACCTTCCCACAAAAGCCAGCACTCCAGCAGCACGCGTAGGCCCAGAGCAGCCATGCCAACCTCAGCCCCATCATCTCAGCAGTTCACGTACAACTCCAGTCTGACCACACTGGAAATAATTCACTGCTCCCATGCACAAACACCTTAGAGCCAACCAATGAAAGTGAGATCAGCTTAGTGTCAACCTTGGCAAGAAGGCAGGGCACAACAGAAAACCATGCTCACAGGACGGCTGGGCAAGCAGCAAATCCTGTTCTGGACTCTCCGGAACCACAGATTATCTCAAATAAAGGCAATTCCTGTTCCTGCTCCCCGCAAAGGGCATTTTGCAGCATAGGAGGACCAGAAGCTGTTGCTGCATCTTGTGGTTTAACCCTAGTAGTCAGCTAAGCACAGCACAGCTGCTGGTATGCACGGCAGGAAAGAGCAAGAATCAGAATGGCAGAAGTTAGAAAATTCATGGGTTGAGAGAGATTAATAAGCTAAAAACTAAAAATAAACCCAAGAAGAACAAGTAACACCAAAGCAACCCTTGCTCACCACCAGCCGACTGCCACCCAGCTGGTCCCCGAGCAGCAGCAGCCCTGGCAAGCTTCCCCCCACCACACACAGCATCACAGGAGGCGGGACATCCCTTCTGTCAGCTGGGGACAACTGTCCCAGCTTCTGGTACACCTTTACCCTGCGTACTGGGAGGGGCAGTGTGGGGAGCAGACAGAGCCTCGATGCTGTGTAAGCATTACTCAGCAATAGCTGAAACATCCCTCTGTTCCCAGCACTGTTGCTATCACCAATCCCAGCCATAGCACCTCACAAGAACATTAACTCTACCCCAGCCAAAACCAGAATACCCTTGTACTGGATCTACAAGGCGAAGCTACACATGCCTGTGCCAAGCAGGAGTTCAGACCAGAGGAAACCTGTCCAGTGGGACATTTCCAGCAGCTACAATATCAGCCTGTTCCTATCACATTATTCCAGCCTAGACTTACTGCTCTGCTCTGTAAGCACAAACCTAGCGGTAAAGCTAGTTACAGTTTTTACCTCCTCACTTAACAGGTGCAGAGTGTCCTGCAGTGATCCACTACGAGCCTACAAGATCCTCTGTTGATATGATGCAGCCCAGGACAGATACCACAAAGACAAGAAACCCTATTTCCCCTCCTGGCTATATCCTGCAGGTAGAGTGGAGAGACTTGGTGCTGCTGGTGTGCTCAGGGAAGAGAACAGGCAGCTGCTCCTTCCTGAGCAGAGACCAAACGAGGCTTAGACTGAGGCTAAGTCTTCACTGCTGGAGACATTCCAGAACAAAGCACAGTCAGAGGGAAAAAGAGACAGGCAAACACAACAGGCATTGCACATGGGGCCTTAAATGCTGAACACCACATTTTCACAATTAATTAAAAAGCCAACAGAAATTTAAGCAGCCCTGACTCTACACAACAAGAAAAGAGCAAACTGGGTTCCTGCCAGCACAAGATTTTCAAATTTCTACCAAGGGTGAAAGGCCGTACAAATAAGCATACAACTAGGTACTCTAATGGTAGGGTTTCCTGATAACACTATTTCCTCAGCAAAATTACCTCCTGAAAGTCAAACAAAGCACCACTCTGGAATCTCATATTAAAATAATAACAAATCATCTGCATCGCAATAATCACCTAAAAAATAAATTGAAAATTATTATATAACTGCTATCTAAAAACAAATGCTAAATAAACACAACTCTCTTCTAATATTTCTTTCTAGTACTATTAGAAAAGTAACAAACCCTGTTTCTGCTGAGGGCCTTTTATCCCTGCAACTTGGACCTCAGCTGCATCCACTTTTCCCAGCAAGGAGGGGCAGCTGCCCTCCCAAGACTTTCAAAGACCAGAGGAGGGTGTTAGCTCCATTTCTAGCTAAGCCAGGGAGTGAGAAGGATGCTCTAGGAAAATAAACAGGTAGTAGTATTATGTAGCTTTCCAAAATATTGTTTTTGTTGCGCATTAAAAAGTTTATATTTGGTAGCAGCGTTTGGTGGGTGTATCGTCTTGTTTTGCTGTCTTCTTGTGATTCCTGTGTGACTATAATTGGTGAGTCCTGTTTCAAGTAGCTTTAGCACTGTTTTGCCTTTTCTAAAGGTATCTGTGTGGACTTAGTTCAACTGGCATAGTTCAACAGGTAAGGTTTATATTTACCTAGGTTGTTTGACTTAACACAGGAATTTTAGAGGAAAGAGCAAGCTTAGGGCTGTCTTGCTCCTAATTTGTACCTTAACCCCTCAGCTCTGAGTACTTACTCATGTGTGTACAGTAGGTATCATCTCTGGAAGGAAGCAGCCTTACCTAAAGCATCACTATAGTACTGGTCCCAGTCTCTCCAGATAACGTAGTGGAACATGATATCCTGTGCAGTGTAGGTAAGGATGTTCTTTAGCCTTTCCAGAAAGGACATCCTGTCACTCAGGCGGCTTAGAACAGATGGTACGTAGGAAGGAGGTGCCGGGAGCATCCCGCAGAACCGCTCCACTGTGTTCCC